AACCTTTTATATGAATCCATCATTTAATGGATCAGCTTTTCCAGAGAAAGTTCATAATGAGAAGAACTCATCTGAAGAAGGAAGAAGAAGTTCATAATGAGAAGAATTTGTTCAACCTTTTACCTGAATTCATCAATTGATGGATTATCTTTTCCGGAGAAGTTCATAATGAGAAGAACTCATCTGAAGAAGAAAGAAGAAGTTCATAATAAGAAGAACTTGTTCAACTTTTTGCATAATTCTATCACAGAAGGAGATAGATTAACATCAGCCTTTCTAGAGAAAGTTCATAATGAGAAGAACTCATCAAGAGCTTATTCAACCTTTTTAATGACTCTATCACAGAAAGAAAGAGGTCAGCATCATCCCCAGCAGAAAATTCATAATGAGAAGAACTCATCTATAGAGAGAGAAGAATTTATTCAATATCTCCATTATGATCAAGTGAAGCCAAATGGATAAAAAAATTTATTATCTTTTCATCTTTACCCTATTCTTGTTAACACAAGAATGAGCAAAGAGGGGCAGCTGAAGATACTAATTTTTTACCCATATTATTATTATTATTATTATTATTATTATTATTATTATTATTATTATTATTATTATTATTATTATTATTATTATTATTATCATTATTATTATTATTATTATCATTATTATTATTATTATCATTATTATTATTATTATTATTATTATTATCATTATTATTATTATTATTATTAAATATATTAAATACATATATAAATATTATTAAAAAAATAATAATTACAGGCCCAATTACAACTGGACCGGCCCAGTTACAAACCAACCAGAACCAGTCCAGATCAAACCAGAAACCCTAAATATTTGGGTTTCCAGTTAGGGTTTCCTAACCCTAATTTAACCAGCCGCCTCAGCTCACAACCGTTGGATCTGGCAAGATCCAACGGTCCAGATTGCCCCAGATGGAAACCCTAGGGTCTGATACCCTAAGGACACGCGGCCGCCGTTGCTATCTCGCCGCCTCCGCCGCTGCCACGTCCCAACCGAAGACTCCAGAATATAGAATACCAGCCGTCCACGCCATGGCTACTCGGTGAGTCACCACTGGTAGTCCGGTGACTCACCGAGACCCCATCTTCGGACCGGTCCGACGGCTACAACGGTGGTGGCTATAAAAGCCACCACCCGAACCTGAAAAAAAAAAGGAGGAGACAGAAACAGGAGAGACACAGAGACAGAAAAAAAGGAAAGAAAAAGAAACAACAGAAACAGAGAGAGATACAAAAACTACCAACGATCCCAGTCCACAACAACACAGCAAAAACAAAAACAGAAGGAAAAAGAGAGGAGAGAAGCTTACCAAAGAAGCCTTGACCATCGCCGGAAGCACTAAACATCGCCGGAGAACCGAAAATACCGAAGGTATTTTCATAGATTTACTCCGATTAGGAGTCTTTTTGGGGAAACAAAGGTCGGATTCGGTCTTAGGGTGTTTAGATCTACGTTTTAGGTAAATTTGGGGAATTTCCGACCACCGGAGGCGGTGGTCGGCGGCAGAATTCGCGGCGGCAGACGGCTGCCGGATTCCCTCCGATGAGGGAATCTAGAGAGAGGCCAGAGAGAATTCTGGCTCTCTCTCTGTTTGAGAGGGAAAAAAAAAAGGAAATGAAATAGCTGGCCCGAAGGGCCAGCCGATTTGGACTTTTATAGTCCTTCCCGAACGACGTCGTTTCGGGAAGGACTATGCGCGTAATTATAAAATAGTTAAACCCCGTCCGCAGTCCTCCGAACTTGTAAACTTTATATTTTAGTCACTAAATTAAATTTATAATATTTTTAATTCAGTCTTCGAATTTGAATTTCTTTTATTTTAGTCCTTCATATTAAAATAATATATTTAGGATAAATTACAGATTTAATCCCTTAATTTTAATAAATAATATTTTAATCCCTAGTTTATATTTTTAATTTATTTGATTCTAATATCCGAGTTTTAGATAATTTTATTTTAGTCACCAAATAAATAAAATAAGGAAATAACATATTTAATCCCTATAATTTTGATTAATTATGAATTAGATTTTTAATTTTATTTTTATTGTAATTTAATCAGTTATTTTATATGTTTTCATTTATTTTATTGTTTTTAAATATATTGTTTTAGTAGTATTTGTATTTTTATTTTATTATATTGTTAAATATTTTTATATTCATAAATATATAATAAATAATAATTTTTAAATATTTATTTTTAATATCGAAGAAAAGGACAGTCTTAATACAACTGGATGTCCTATTTTGATATTTTAAAATAAAAAAGTAAACAATATTATTTAAATTAATATTTATCAATATCAAAGAAAAGAGCTGTCTTAAGGCACCTAGAAGTTCTTTTCTGATATTTTTAAATAAATAAATATTTTTTTTATAATTTTGAAATAATAGAATTATAAATTAAATATATTTTTGACTTTTTAAAATTTTAATAATAGAGACAATTTATAATTAAAAAGTACCAATTTTGGGCGTTGTAGGGGTGCTAATCCTTCCCTAAACGTAACCGACCACGAATCCCTTTTTATTATTAAAAAGAATAAATTTTTGGTTATAAACGCAGATCAGTTTATTTTTTTTAATTGGTGTTTTATTAAAACTCTTTTAAAAAATAATTTTTAGGTATTCGACCTACCTGACCCAAAAGGCCGATGGCGACTCCCAAATTATTTTCAAAACCATTTATTCACATCACTTTTCCCGCCAAACAAATAAATTCGTGCCCGGACGAAAATCGGTTACGACACGTAGTATAAAGAGAGGAGAGATTTTTAAGCTTTGGAAGCATGGGAGAATTTATAGAGAAAACAAGACAGCCATATGGGAACAAGGGACAGACAGCAATCAGAAAAGGGACGTTGAGCTGTGGTGTGACGTGGGAACCTGAGAAGCTTGGTTTTGGTTCGTCGACCAAATTATTAAAAGTGGGTTTTGGCTGAAACAGGTTGTTCGAGGAGGTTTTGGCGGTGGAGGTGGGGCCAAGGACAGCTCAGCTTAAGGTTTAAATTTTAAGCATTGGCTCATGACATGCAAAGTTGTGGAGACAATTAATAAACAGAGAATTCTAAGGAAATGAAGGGAATACTTTTAGAATTTATAACCTAAAGGAATGTGTAAGAGAACAAAGATAAATAACTTAATCAATCAAACCCTTTAAATATATTAACAGGTCAAACGAATTTTTTTTATAAATTTCAGGAAATTATTAACCATTTTTCAAAATCATAAGATCTCCTTATCCCTGCTTATGTTTCGCCGCAGATGAATATTCTATTCATATTGAACAGCTTGAGATATTACTAACTTCTATAGATCAAATAGAATGAATTAAATTATGAAGATAGCATGGATCAATATAGAAAAAAAAATATTCTATTTGTCTTGTATTAACATCTAATATATGCAATAAATAATAATTATGTATATTATTTTTAAATTTATAAACGGAATTAAAAAAATTATAATAGATGTTTAATTAAACTAAAGAAATTATGGATATAAACGAGAACTATAAATATAAAAGGATCTTATAAAAGTATATTAAATCTTAAAATTTTAATTATATGTATAATTATACAAACCCATAAAATTTGGATCATAAATTTTAACACTCTAAAATTTATATTTATATTTATATTACAATAACATTAACGTTTAAATTAATGTCACTTATTACTAGATGCATCACATTTAATGTTGACATTCATAGTGATTGAACCTATCAAATAACTTCATTGGTTAAAAAATTATTTTCGTTAAATCTTTTAAATTTGAACAATTACGTTTACAGAATATATATATATATTTTTAATATACTAATAAATTATAAATATATATTATCTTATTATGATTTTAGATTATTAAAAGAACATTATGATTCTTTTACTCTTTCGTTGCCTAATGACCTTCCTTGGGGCCTTATGACGTAAGGGAAAACCTCAGCTGATAATAGGTGAATATTTCGCCATTAACACGTTTTTGGCCCAATAATTTATTTATATTGGACTTTGGAAATTTGATGGGCACATAAGTTACAACTTACTTTCAACTTTAATTCCTTTAAAAAAATTATTTTATGTGATATACGTATTATATATATATATATATATATATAATGATGGTTGATATTAGAATTTTATTATTTTTAATAAAAAATAAAAAAATATTAATATACAACCTTTTAATCTTAATTATTTATTTTAACTCATTCAATATTTATAGTTTTATAAAAAAAATAATAAATTTATATAAATTAAATCAATCTTATCCCTTAAAATAATTATGTTTTGTCGACACTGTTTTTCGCCCGGCGGGGAAGAACACTGATACGACTTAGGGTTTTTTTTAAAAAGATTTTAAAATGTGAAGAGTCGCCACCTATCATTTTAAGATACGATCGGAACACTATAAAAAATCGGGTGATTTTAATAAAATATTCTGTTTTTATCAAAATACCAAGTTTTATGGTCTACAAAAACCAGAAAATAGGTTCAAGAGTCAGTTACGCATGGAAGGATTAACACCCCACAGCGCCAAAAAATTGATACCTAGTTGATTATCTTATATTTAAAATTGAAAATTTTAAATTCGAACTTTATCTAATTTAAAAATCATTGTAGATATAAAGTTAAAAAAAAGGTATTCGTTTATTCGTTTTTTATTTTCGATGCTTTTCTATTTCTGATATCTTACAGTTCAGAAAATGTTGTTGAAGGCAAACGAGCTGCTAAGGAAGCCTTACAGCAAAGGCTTGGTTTCAAAAGATCTAATTTTCCTTTGGTTGAAATTATTACTCGTTTAACTTATCAGAAAGGAATCCATCTCATCAAGCATGCAATTTCGCGCACCTTAGAACGAAACGGACAGGTTTTATATGATTTCGAACTCCCTCGGTAGAGTGACACTAATGTGATTGACATGCACCATGAATTCTCTACTTAATGCATCTTCATAAACATATGATGGAATTTTTGTTTCTGCTACTGGTTGTATTGCTTGGCTCAGCTCCAGATCCTCGTATCCAAAATGATTTTGCAAATTTGGCCGACCGGCTGAGTTCATCTCACTGGGATCGTGCTCGCCTTTGTTTGACATACGATGAGCCACTTTCTCACTTGGTCTGTACTCTTAAAAGTTCAGTTTTATTTATTATTGTTCCCTCGATGAGCGTACTTGTATTTCAATTTTTCATGTGATTCTTTTTACAGATATATGCTGGTGCTGATTTCATTCTAGTTCCGTCGATTTTCGAGCCTTTTGGACTGACTCAACTGACAGAAATGAGATATGGTTCCATACCGGTTGTTCGTAAAACAGGAGGCGCATACTCATCCGAAGTCTGCATTGCCCGTATACATCCATGCATTGCAAATGGTGGAATTTGCATATGATTATAGAATCTCTCAAAAGTATACTGACAGTGTTTCGATTACTTCTTCTGTAAGGACTATATGACACGGTATTTGATGTTGATAACGACAAAGCTAGAGCAGAAGCACAAGGTCTTGAACCCAACGGATTCAATTTTGACGGAGCTGATTGTGGTGGGTCGACTATGCCCTCAATAGGTGAGTCCATCTCTCGGGACCGAAGTTAGTAAAACCCTTTTGTTTTATCATTATCAGTTGGTTTTTGAGTTTCCATTTTCCTTAAGTAGCTTCAAGCGCTAACAAATCCACACACAAGGAAGAACTAGCATTCATCACATTTTCCTGTTCATGTTCTACCATATGTTTCTGCAAATATTACAATTGAATTTGAGTTGAATTAATCGTCTGTAGGGCGATCACGGCTTGGTACGACAGTCGGGGATTGGTTCAACTCATTGTGCAAGAGGGTGATGGAACAAGACTGATCATGGAATAGACCTGCACTCGATTATATAGAGCTTTACCATGCGGCTAGGAAATACTACAAGAAAAGAAGCTGGTTAAGCAAGAAAGATACTACAAATCAATGTCCATTTCATTAGCTTGTACAGCATTGCCTTTTAAAAAAATTCCTTTTGCTGCCATAGTTTTAGCTCTTAAAAGTTCATGGATTTGAATTTTTTATTCATTTTAAGTTCTAATGACTCGGGCCTTGAATGTGGGAGCCTGAACTTGCCCAGATTTTAAACGAACTTAACTTTCTTGTTCAAATTTATGTTTTAGATCTAATGTTTTTATCTAAATACTCTCAAATTCCGAATGAACATTTGACCTTGGAGGAATAATCCGACAACTTGATGATATCAAACTTCACATAGCTTTATTCAACTCATGGACTGCACTCAACCCTCCTTTTTGGTACTCTGCTAACTCCTACTAAGCTGAGTTTGCAGCTGTGGATTGAGTATAAGGTTGCGGAAATCAATGAAGTGTTAAGCAGCACATGGGCTGCAAAATTATTAGCAGCAAGCGACTGCTTGAAAATAATAATAATAAGGGGCTAAATTTTTTATTATTTTGTAATAGGTATAATTACAAAATTGAGTCATTGAACTTTAGGGTATTTACAAAGATTAATCCCTAAGTTTCAACTATAAATACCCTAGCTCATTTAACTTCAAAATCATCCCAAAATCTTCTAGTTCTCTCTCAAGTGTGTTGTGTAAACACCTGTAAATTTTCTCTTAGTAAAAGATCTGCAGCAGCCCGGAGAAGTAAGCACAATTGGCTGAACTCCGTTATCAATTTCGGGTATTATTTTTTCGCTTTTATTTCGCATTCGCACTAATCTGGTTATAAGGAAAATTACTTGTACTCGGTTTATTTCCTAACAACTGGTATCATGAGCTTTTGGTTGTGAATTTTATCAATTTTTCTGCGAGATTACTATTCACGTGAATAGTGAATTTCGTGAATAGTGAAATTCGGTCGACGATACGAGTTTGTAGACAGAGGTGTTCTAATACACGGCGGTTCGCAGAAATTGTCAGAAACGATCCAAACGAAGCCAGATTCGAGTGGGAGCGATGGCTGCAGACGAAGGGAAGGTGAAAATTGAAAAGTTCGATGGTGCGGACTTTGGCTTTTGGAAGATGCAGATTGAAGATTTTTTGTACCAGAAAAATCTATATCAACCTCTCTCGGGAAACCAACCAGAGGGCATGAAGAATGAAGACTGGCTCTTCTCGACAGACAAGCCCTCGGAGTTATCCGACTGACGTTATCCCGCAATGTTGCTTTCAACATAGCAAAGAAAAAGACCACGGCGGGTCTTATGGCGGCTCTATCCAGTATGTATGAGAAGCCATCAGCCTCAAACAAAGTTCATTTGATGAGGCGATTATTCAATTTGCGGATGACGGAAGGGGCATCGGTGGCACAACACCTAAATGAACTCAACACAATCACAACCCAGTTGAGTTCAGTGGAAATTGAATTCGATGATGAAGTTCGAGCTTTAATTCTCTTATCATCTCTACCAGACAGTTGGAATGCAACTGTTACAGCAGTCAGCAGTTCGTCGGGAAACAACAAATTAAAATTCGACGATGTTCGGGATCTGGTACTGAGCGAAGAAATTCGACGGAGAGAATCGGGTGAAGCATCAACCTCCTCAGCCTTGCACACGGAGTCTAGAGGGAGAACTTCAGAAAGAAATTCAAATTGTGGCAGATCCAAATCCAGACGGGGAAAATCAAGAACAGTAAATAAAGATTTTACCTGTTATAATTGCAGCAAGAAGGGTCACTTCAAAAGAGATTGCCGAGCACCGAAGAAAAATACTGGCGCACAGGAATCTACCAACGTGACAGAGGAGACAGGTGATGCCATGATTCTAAGCGTCAACAGTCCGATTGAATCATGGATCTTGGATTCAGGGGCATCTTTCCACTCCACCCCATGCCAAGAAATCATGGAGAACTATGTCAGTGGTGATTTTGGGAAGGTTCATCTTGCTGATGATGAAACCTTAAAGATCGTCGGAAAAGGAGACATCCGACTAAAGCTGCCAAACCAGACCACCTGGAAGCTGACAGGAGTGAGACATATTCCTGACCTCAAAAGAAATCTGATTTCTGTTGGACAGCTTGATGGAGAAGGATATAGCACAACCTTTTCAGGCTGTGAATGGAAGATTACCAAAGGAGCACTCGTCATTGCTCGTGGTAAGAAGACTGGTACTCTCTATGTAACCTCAAATTTAGAGAATATCATTGCAGTAGCAGATGTTGATGGAAAATCAAACCTATAGCACCAAATGCTTGGCCATATGAGTGAGAAAGGAATGAAGATACTTCTGTCAAAAGGGAAGCTTCCGGATCTAAAGAATGTAGATGTCGGACTATGCGAGGATTGTATCTTTGGCAAACAAAAGAAAGTCAGTTTTGCAAAGATTGGCAAGACACCCAAGGCAGAAAGGTTAGAGTTGGTTCATACTGATGTATGGGGATCATCCCCAGTTCCATCTCTTGCAGGCTCACTATATTATGTCACCTTCATCGATGATTCAACAAGGAAGGTGTGTGTTTATTTTCTGAAGAAGAAATCAGAAGTCTTTGATACATTCAGAAAATGGAAGGTCATGGTGGAAAATGAGATTGATTTGAAAGTCAAGCGGTTGAGGTCTGACAATGGAGGAGAGTACAGAGACAGTAGATTCAGAGATTTATGTGCAAACAATAGGATCAAGATGGAGACAACAGTTCCCATAACACCGTAGCAGAATGGCGTAGCAGAGCGCATGAACAGAACTCTGAATGAACGTGCCAGAAGCATGAGGATACATGTCGGATTGCCCAAATTTCTATGGGCTGAAGCTATCAACACTGCAGCTTACCTGATCAACCGTGGACCCTCAGTTCCTTTGGATGGCGGAATACCAGAGGAAGCTTGGAGCAAGAAAGAAATAAACCTTTCACACTTAAGAGTGTTTGGTTGTATTTCTTATGTACACATAAACTCTGCTGAAAGAAGTAAACTTGATCCCAAGTCCAACAAATGCGTCTTTGTTGGTTACGGTGGTGATGAGTTCGGTTACTGGTTTTGGGACTACGAAAATCGAAAGATCATCAGAAGCAGAGATGTTATTTTCAATGAAAATGTAATGTACAAAGACAGGTCAACCGCAGAATCAAGTAATACCGAAGCTGAAACAAAGGAATTTGCTGAGTTCGAGGAGATTTTTGGAAATGATGTTCAGATCAGTCCTGAAGCAGTTCAAGAGGAATAACCAGGCACACCAGAACTGAGACGCTCCTCTAGAATTCCTAAACCAACCCAACGGTATTCGCCTTCTTTGCACTACTTGTTGCTGACTGACAATGGTGAACAAAAGTGCTATGATGAAGCAATGCAGGTGGAGGATTCAGTCAAGTGGGATTCTTCAATGAAAGATGAGATGTACTCGCTTATGTCAAATCAGACGTGGGAAGTAGCTGAATTACCACCAGGCAATAGAGCGCTCCATAACAAGTGGATTTACAGGATCAAAGAAGAGCACGATGGGAGCAAATGCTACAAAGCAAGATTGGTAGTCAAGGGTTTTCAGCAAAAAGAAGGTATTGACTACAATGAAATTTTCTCTCCAGTCGTAAAACTGTCTACAATCAGACTGGTGTTGAAAATTGTAGCTGCAGAGAATTTACATCTTCAGTAGTTAGATGTAAAGACAACTTTCCTTCATGGTGATTTGGAGGAAGAAATCTATATGAGGCAACCAGAAGGCTTCATAGAGGCAGACAAGAAAAACCTGGTATGCAGGTTGAAGAAGAGCTTGTATGGTTTAAAATAAGCTCCTAGACAGTGGTACAAGAAGTTTGATAGTTTCATAGGTAGCAGTGGTTTTACCAGATGCCAAGCAGATCATTGTTGCTACATCAAGAGGTTCGACAACAACTTCATTATTTTATTGTTGTACGTTGATGACATGCTCGTTGCAGGTTCAGACATGCAAGAGATTATAAACTTGAAGCAAAAATTGTCGAAGCAGTTTGCTATGAAGGATCTGGGTGCTGCAAAGCAGATTCTTGGGATGGGGATCAAGAGAGACACAAAGTCGGGGACTTTGATGTTATCACAGGCTGAGTACATCAACAAAGTACTCTCCAGGTTCAACATGCAAGATGCTAAACCAGTAAGTACACCTTTAGGTGTTCATTTCAGACTCTCCAAAGACCAATCACCAAAGACGGAGGAAGAACGTGCACACATGGTGAAGGTGCCGTATGCCTCAGCAATTGGAAGTATGATGTATGCCATGGTTTGTACCAGACCAGATATTGCTCATGCAGTGGGAGCTGTTAGCAGGTACATGAATAATCCGGGCAAGGTACACTGGGAAGCAGTCAAATGGATCCTCAGATATCTGTGGGGTACCACAGACAAAGCACTTTGTTTCAAAGGTGGAGATACAATACTGACAGGCTATGTAGATGCTGACTTAGCTGAAAATGTTGACATCAGAAGGAGCACTACAGGGTATGTCTATACTCTAGGAGGAACTGTAGTGAGTTGGGTTTCTCAACTATAGAAGATAGTTGCTCTCTCCACAACTGAAGCAGAATATGTCGCTGTTACGGAAGCCAGCAAGAAGATGGTTTGGCTCCAAAGTTTCTTGGAAGAGTTAGGCAAGAAACAAGAAAACAATATCTTGTATTGCGACAGTCAAAGTACTATCCATCTAGCAAAGAATCCGTCTTTTCATTCCAGGACGAAGCACATACAATTGTGATATCATTTTATCCGGTCTCTTCTGGAAGATGGGATTTTGAAACTTGAAAAGATCAGTGCAGCTCAAAATCCAGCAGACATGTTAACAAAGACGGTAACTACGGACAAATTGAAGTTGTGTTCAGCTTCAGTTGGCATGCTAGAATAAAAGACCAGAAATACTGCTGCATCGATCGAGGTGTGAAGACAGATTGAAATAAGTCTTCAAGTGGGAGATTGTTGGTCAAAGCAGCACATGGGCTGCAAAATTATTAGAAGCCAGCGGCTGCTTGAAAATAATAATAATAGGGGGCTAAATTTTTTATTATTTTGTAATAGGGATAATTACAAAATTGAGTCATTGAACTTTAGGGTATTTACAAAGATTA